GCAAGATCTAAAATATCGTTTAATTGTGTGTTGGAAAGGTCTTGAAGAAAAATGAAATTTACTTTCTTTGTCATTATCATCAATCTAATCTTGATTTAAAATTTGTGTTCCGATGCCTTCGTTTGTAAATATTTCTAAAAGCAATGAATGAGGTGTTCGTCCATCGATGAAATGAACTTTACTAACTCCCTTAGAGAGTGCCTCGAAAGCAGATTCAATCTTTGGAATCATTCCACCCGATACTTTGTTTTCTTCAAATAATTTTTTTACGATCGTTCGTGTTAGAGTTGGAATTAGTTCTTTTCCGTCTTGGACACCTTCAATATCGCTGAGGTAAACTAATTTTTCGGCTTTAAGCGCAGTCGCAATAGCGGACGCTGCTAAATCTGCATTGATATTATAAAACTTTTTATCCTCGCCAATTCCAAATGGAGCAATTACGGGAATCATGTCAGACGCAATTAATTTTTCTATCAGTGGTACATTCACATGTTTTACTTTTCCAACGTAACCAAGTGTTTCACGGTCAATAGGATGTGTTAACAATAAATTGCTATCTCCCCCACATAATCCAATTGCGTTACCCAAATTTTGGCTTATGTAGGAGGATATTTGTTTGTTTAACATTGTGAGTCCCATAACTACGGCATGAATCATACTTGAATCTGTGTAACGCATTCCGTTAATAAATTTTGTTTCAATTCCGAAAGCATCGGCAATTTTGGTGATTTCCTTTCCGCCTCCATGCACAATAATAACATGGATACCAATTTTTTTTAGTAGTGTAACATCTTTTGCGAATGATTGTTTGAGTGTATCCTCAATCATCGCGGCGCCGCCGTATTTTATGACAAATACCTTGTTTTCATATTTTTGTATGTAGGGTAGTGCTTCTATTAACGTGCGGGCTTTAAAGGTATTTCCGTTCATGAGCGATAGTTTGAATTGATTGCAACGTACTTTTCAGAAAAATCACATGTCCAAAACACAGATTCTTTCGAGCCTAAATTTAGATTGACCGTAACAGTGATTTCATCTAACAAAAGAACTTTTTTGACAAATTCTTCATTTAATGCGAGTGTGTAATTTGGAAGCAAAACGGGGGCATCGTTAAAATGAATAGAAACTTTTTCAGGATTGAATGAAACACCCGAGTAACCCATGGCACATAAGATTCGTCCCCAATTGGCATCTGCACCATAGAATGCGGTTTTTACCAAAGGAGATTTTGCGATTGACTTTGCAATAGTGTCCGCATCTTTGACAGACTTTGTGCCTTTAATGCGTATTTCCAATAGTTTTGTTGCGCCCTCACCGTCTTTTACAATCATTTTAGCAAGTGCAACAAGTACTTTTTCTATTTCGTTGTAAAATAGTTCAAACTCTTTTGTATGCTCCATGATAATTTTATTTTCTGACATTCCATTAGCAAGCGCAAGCACCATATCGTTAGTACTTTCATCTCCGTCCACAGAAATTCTGTTAAATGAGTTTTTTGTAGCTTTTGAAATTGCTTTTTGCAACATGGATTTTGAAATAGATGCATCTGTCATAACAAAAGCAAGCATGGTTGCCATATTAGGTGCTATCATGCCTGAACCTTTAGCAATGGCGTATATTTTGGCTTTAGTACCGTCCGTAAAATGTACAACACTATGGCTCTGTTTAGCGACCAAATCTGTCGTCATAATGGCATCTGCGACGGCATTTATTTTATTTGGCGAAATGGATAAAACTAATTCTGGGATATGGTGCAATATATTTTCTATGGGCAAACGCTTTCCAATGACACCTGTGGATGAAATAAAAATATGGTCGCTTTTTATTTTTAGGGCATGTGCAGCACATTCACTAATTCGTAACGCGTCTTCGTAACCCTCTTTTCCGGTGCATGCGTTTGCATTTCCACTATTCACAATAATTGCAGATATATGTTTTTGAGTTTTTAAGCGATTTTTGCTAATTATGACGGGAGCTGCCTGAACCTGATTTTGAGTAAATACACCGGCCGCGGTTGCAGGCTTTTGTGAATAGATGAGGGCAAGATCATCCTTGATTTTTCTAATACCCGCATGGCAAGATCCAACTAAAAACCCTTTCGGGAAGTGCATACCTATTTCGTTATTGCTTTCCATTTATGTTCATTTTATAATCCTATAGTTTCAGTAAAATTATTCATCAAATTAAAATTCTGAACCGCCTGTCCAGCAGCACCTTTAACCAAATTGTCAATTGCTGAAAGCAAAGTTAGAGTCTTGTTTTCATTGTCTATTGAAAAGGCTATGTCAATAAAATTTGTATGTTGAACAGCTCTAATAGATGGAAATGTTAAAGAACTTATTTGATTTAATATTCGGATAAATGGGTCGTGGGAGTATGCGTTTTGAATAATACCAAGTGCATTCGACAGCGTGAGTTTAGTTTTCAATGCAACTTGAATAGTAGAATGGATTCCGCGTGTAACAGGAATTAGGTGAGGAACAAAATTTACCCTACATTCTTTATTAGTAAATAATTTCAATGCACTTTCAATTTCAGGCGTGTGTTGGTGATATCCCACCTTATAAGATCTCACGTTCTCGTTTAACTCAACAAACGAATATGCCAGTTTTTCCTGCTTTCCAGCTCCCGATATTCCCGACACTGAACTTACAAAAAAAGGAGTTTCAACATTTATCACATCAGATTTCAAGAAGGGAACCAGTGGCAAAATAACGCTTGTTGGATAGCATCCCGGGTTCGCAACCCAGTTAGCATTTTTTATTTTTTCCCTATTTAATTCTGTTAATCCATAAACAAACTTGTTAATCAAATCTTTTGCTGTGTGTTCGTACTCGAAATACTTCTGCCGTTCTTTTACCAAGAACCGAAAATCAGATCCAATATCTATAATTCGCTTATTTGCATGAACCAATTCTCTAATCACGTCGAAACCATGGCCTGAAGGAAGGGCAATAAATACAAAATCCATATCTTGAAGCGAGGTTAAGGAATAAGTTTGAAAGATTAAGTCGGTTTTACCCAAAAATTCGGGAAAAACAACTTCAACCTTTTGCCCTACCTGTGAATGAGCAATTACCGTACATACTTTGACGTTTGGATGGCGAAACAGGATTTTTAGCAATTCGCCTCCAGAATATCCGGATGCCCCAACTATTCCTACTGATAATACTTTATGCACCTCTTTGCATTTTTAACATAAATCAAAAGATACCAACAAAGAAGTCTAAAATACATTATGGAATAAAAATCTGTACTTAAAATGAAATTACAGGTAGCAAAAGGGTAAGAATGGCACATGAAAATGCTCCAGAAAGTATATCATCACATAGTACTCCGAAGGTACTTGGTAATGCCTGTAGATGATAAATTGGAAAAGGTTTTAGAATATCAAAAAAACGAAAGAGCGAAAACGAAATCAAGTAATAAACAATATGTTGAGGAATAAACAGCAGGGCAATGGTCTGCCCAACCCATTCATCTATGGTAATGCAAGAAGCATCGTGTCCATAGTATTCCTCTGCTGCCGGAACTGAGATAAATGAAATCAAAATAAAAAATGTGAGCAACAAAAGAAGATTTTCTAAATTTAGTTGCAGAGTGATTATGACTAATGTGCAAATTAAACTTGTTACTGTTCCCGGAGATTTAGGAAAATAACCCAATCCAAACCCGGCTGCTAAAAAGTATTTAATTTTAAGTGGCATATACTAATCATTTAGTACTTAGTATGAGGGTGTTTTCAACTTGAGTTCCTGTATAAACCGATATAGATATTCAAAAGCAGTATAAATTGATAGGACACACAAAATGAATGCAACCAAATGAACCCATGAATGCTGAATAAGGTAGTTAGATAAGTAAAAAATAGTATAATTTGAAAATATTTTTAGAGAGAATAAATCAAGTAAAAGTAATACGTAAAGAAAAATGGATTGCAAGAACGTTTTGACTTTTGCGAGATAACTTGTAGATACAGGTACACCCTTTTTTTCAGCATAAATTCGCATTACGGTTACAAAAATATCTCGTCCCACTATTATAGCGGTCATCCCAAGACTGAGAACTCCATAATACACAAATACGAAAAGTCCAATTCCAAAAAGAATTTTATCCGCCAATGGGTCAAGAAATGCACCAAACCTTGATACCACTTTAAAACGTCTTGCATGGTATCCGTCGTAAAAATCTGTAATAACCGCTATGGTAAAAATAGAAATGCCTAATAGGCGGCTTTTTATATCACTGGAAAGGGATAACCACCCAAAAATAGGTGCTAAGATGATTCTTAATGTAGTAAGTTGGTTCGGAAAATTAAGCATTTGACCCCCCCATGTTCCATTTGAGCGCCAAGCCGATATTGGGAAAAACAGAAACAAATATTTTTTTAATTTCTTCTGCAATATCACGATGCTCCTTCTGAGTAGCACTGTCTGTCCTCAATTCTATGTAATGAATCCAACTTCTTACGGATCCTTTCATGTAAAGTTTTGTTTGAGTACTTAATGGTAAAAGCATACGGGCACTTTCTTTTGCAATACCACGGTGAATAGCCTCTTTGTAACGAGAAAAAGCCATATCTCTTACCTGTTCTTGAGCATCGTGGAACCACTTCTGATTTTCAGGGCTGAGATCATCGAATGAGTTTTGTCTATTCTTTTTGTCTTGTGATCGGGCTGAGTATATTTCAACCTCGGTGGGTTCGGCATATCTCTGTGAAAACTCTTGAAATGAAAAACTACGGTGACGGAGGATTTGAGGTGAAATAGCGCGTGATGTGGTGATTTCTACAGTCATATCCGCCATTTCGAAAATACTCCAATGCTTATGTGTGATACAGTACGAGAGCAATTTTTCGTAAGAACTGTTTTCCTGATTGGAATTAGAAACTCTTGCACAGTAAACCATAAGATGTTCGATAGAAATTTCATTTTGGTCAAACGAAACAACAGGTTTTGTAAAAGAAACTAAACGTACATTCATAAAAATAAAAAGTAACGTGACGGGGGGGGGAGTTGAACCCCCGACCTTAGGGTTATGAATCCTACGCTCTAACCGCCTGAGCTACCCCGCCAAAAAAACACGATGAATCTATTAAATGCCATGTTCGGCAAAGTTACAAAAAAACACACACTAATCGTCAAAAAGTGAGCTCACAGAATCATCATCATAAATTCTGCGTATAGCTTCTGCAAAAAAGGGTGAAGCCGAAACCACATCTAACATCTGCATATTTTGGTTATCTCGCGGAACAGAATCCGTCGTGATCAAAACTTCTATGGGTGACTCCATTAATTTATCAATGGCGGTACCCGAAACAAGGGCGTGTGAGCAAGCTGCAAATATTTGTTTCGCACCTTTTTCCTTCAACGCAATTGAGGCATTCACAATGGTGCCCGCAGTATCAATAATATCATCCGTAATAAGAATATTTTTTCCCTCCACATCGCCAATTACATTCATCACCTCTGACTTATTCGGCTCTGGACGGCGTTTATCAATGATTACCAGTGGTGCATTTAATCGCCTCGCATAAGCACGCGCTAATTTAACGCCACCTACATCCGGCGACGCGACTGCAACATTTTCAATTCCATACTCCAAAAATCTCTTTGCAAGTAAATTTGATGCGTAAAGATGATCTACTTGAATATTGAAAAACCCTTGAATCTGGTGTGAATGTAGATCCATCGTCAATATTCTATGCGCCCCCGCTGCGCTAATTAGATCTGCAACTAATTTTGCCGTAATCGCAACACGAGGCTTGTCCTTGCGATCTTGTCGAGAATATCCATAATACGGAATGACCGCAGTGATTCTACTCGCAGACGCTCTCTTCGCAGCATCAATTAATATCAGCAACTCTAACAGGTTGTCCGAAGGCGGATTCGTAGATTGAATGATAAACAAATCACTTCCTCGTATTGATTCATCATACTGCGCAGAAATTTCACCGTCAGAAAACGTTTGCAAATGTGCTTTACATAAGGGTACAGAAAGCTCCAACGAAATCTTCTGTGCAAATGACAAATTACTCCGACCGGAAAAAATCTTAATTGTTTTTAACATGATGCTCAAAGTGATTATTGTTAATTCAAAATTATGACTAATTGCCAAAGTTATTATGAAAATTTAATACACCCCTCTATCTTTTCTTTTAATAAATATAACGATGTTCAATTTTAACCTATGTTTACGGTATCATCTTATTTTCATTTTAATCTATATTTTGGACTTAAATTTACATTTGTTTTACAATTAACTTTAATCATACTTATTATGGAACAATTAAATCAAATGCCACGAATTGGCGATTCTGCACCAGATTTTGATGCGATAACAACGATTGGTAACGTCAAATTCTCTGAATTTATCAAAGGAAGTTGGGTGATTCTGTTTTCTCATCCCGCAGATTTTACCCCCGTTTGTACTACCGAGCTTATTGGCTTTGCTACAGAAAAAGAATTTTTCAAGGCACATAATACAAAATTAATCGGGCTAAGTATAGATAGCATTCACTCACACATTGCTTGGGTACATGCAATTCAAGAAAAAACCAGTACCCTTTTGGAATACCCAATTATTGCAGACATAGATATGAAAGTTTCCAAACTCTATGGTATGATTCAACCTGGCGAAAGTGAAACAGCCACTGTAAGAGCCGTTTTTGTAATTGACCCTCAAGGTAAGGTACGTCTTATTATGTATTACCCTTTGAATGTGGGTAGAAATATGGATGAAATCAAGCGAACACTTGTTGCATTGCAAACCGCCGATGATAACAAATGTGCTTTGCCTTTAAATTGGAAAAAGGGTGAAAAAATCGTTGTACCCGCGCCTCGCACCGTAGAAGCACTAACCGAGCGAAAAGCAAGTAACTTAGACATGATCGATTGGTATTTAGCCAAACGGGCACTCTAAAATCAAAGATAACGTCATCATTAGACAAGCAAGGCACATTAATCCTAACAGAACTGGTTTCACAAAATGAATCGCGTTAAATCTGAAGCTTATTTTCTTAGAGCAAAAAAAGTTATTCCCGGTGGGGTCAATTCCCCTGTGCGTGCGTTTAAGTCCGTGGGTGGAGACCCACTTTTCATAAAAAAGGGAAATGGATCAAAAATTTGGGATGAAGATGGAAATGAGTTTATAGATTTCGTTTGCTCTTGGGGTGCTTTACTTTATGGGCACTCTCATCCAAGGGTACAATCAGCACTTAAATCCGTAATAGAACACATAGGTACAAGTTTTGGTGCTCCTACTCTCCGAGAAGTAGAGTTTGCCGAACTCATTCAGATACTTGTCCCCGCCGCCGAAATGGTTCGTCTCGTTTCAAGCGGAACCGAAGCCACAATGACCGCCATTCGCATAGCGCGCGGATACACAGGTAAAGATAAAATTATAAAATTTGAAGGCTGTTATCACGGACACGGAGATTCCTTTTTGATTAAAGCAGGGTCAGGCGCAACAACAATGGGAACTCCCGACAGCCTTGGTATTCCAAAAGGGTTTCTTCAAGAAACACTTTGTGCAGAATTTAATAACATAAAATCGGTTGAAACCCTTCTCAACGCCAATAAAAATCAAATCGCAGCTATCATTATCGAACCTGTCGCCGGAAACATGGGAGTTGTTCCTGCACATACAGACTTTTTAAAGGAACTTCGTAAACTCTGTACCCTAAATAACATCGTTCTTATTTTTGACGAAGTAATGACAGGCTTTCGCCTAAGCAAAGGTGGATCTTCGGAACTTTACAGCATCACACCCGACCTTATCACATTCGGAAAAATAATTGGCGGAGGATTACCCGTCGCTGCATATTGTGGAAAAAAAGAAATTATGAGTTATGTATCCCCAGAAGGCGGCGTTTATCAGGCAGGCACACTTTCGGGCAATCCACTTGCCGTCGCCGCGGGAATTGAAATCCTAACCATGATTAAAGAAGATCCCCCATATAACCAATTAAATAATCAAGCAATCTTTTTTACTAACGAACTAAAATACACACTAAAAAAAATCGGTATGCCATACCAAATCAACCAGGTCGGATCCATGTTGTCGCTGTTTTTTACAGATGTGCCTGTTACTAACTATGCAAACGCAAAAACATCGGACACAAAAAAGTTTGCAGTTTATTTTAACAAAATGCTTGAACAAGGAATTTATTTGCCACCCTCACAATTTGAAGCCATGTTTCTTTCAACACAAATCTCTGACGCGGACATCTCACAGACGATAGAGGCGTTTACACATGCACTGAATTAATGCAAAGATCCCTACTCAAACGGGTCACGTAGGCACGTGATTGTTCCGCCGTGCATGCATGTAACACACTAATTTTGAAAATTGTAGTAGAAATGAACAACAACCTCCAAATTAGAACGACCTCCACCCAACCTAAGCCTGAAACAAGAGAAATTCGTGTTGAACGGGATAAACGTCCCGAACGAATTGATTCATATTTAACCCGTCAAATTGAGTATGCAACTCGCACAAAAGTTCAAACCGCCATTGAAGAAGGACGCGTACTTGTGAACAGAAAAGATGTGAAACCAAGCTACAAAATTAAACCGAACGACCATATTCTCATTACATTTACACATCCTCCTGCACCTGAATTACTTCCCGAGAACATTGCTATTGACATCATCCATGAAGATGATGCGATTCTCGTCATTAACAAACCGCCCGGAATGGTTGTCCACCCTGCTTATGGTAATTGGACAGGCACGCTTGCGAATGCTGCCCTTTACCACGCCAAGCGTCTTTCGCAAAACATAACCGCCGAATTCTCACAAATTCCTGAAAAATGCTCGTCACTTCGGCCGGGAATTATACATCGATTAGATAAAGACACATCAGGCGTTATCGTGATCACGAAGACGGACGAGGCTGCTCATTTTATTTCCAAACAGTTTGCAGCACGCACGACAAAGAAAACGTATTTTGCTATCACATGGGGAAAATTTAAAAACCAACACGGAAAAATTGAAACAAACATTGGGCGCAGCAATAAAAACAGAAAAGTCATGTCTTGTTATGATGTAAACAGTAACGACGGAAAATATGCTTTAACAGAGTATCACGTGCATGATTCAAATCGTGGATTTTCGTGGGTCGAACTTATTTTACACACGGGACGAACACACCAAATTCGCGTTCATCTTCAATATATGGGGCATCCAATAATTGGTGACAAAGTGTATGGAAAAGCATCGCTCAATATCCCAACAATAGAAACCAAGCGTACAAGCAATTTCGGAAAATATGTGGAAAATTTGCTTGAGCTTATTCCACGTCAGGCACTTCATGCGCGAGAATTAAGGTTTATCCATCCTCTTACCCGAGCAGAAGTGCTGTATAAAGCAAACTTACCCGATGATATGGAGCGTGTTATTAAAAAGATTGGCTTTCAGAATTTACAGATTTAATAAGTTCCTCCTGTTCTTCGCGATACACAAATAAATAGTGAAATATTTCTTTTAAATCCAAATCCTCTATACTATTTTTGCATATTCTTTTAAACGTTATTGGAACGTTCAAATAATGGAGTTGTAGCTCAGTTGGTTAGAGCGCCGGCCTGTCACGCCGGAGGCCGCGGGTTCAAGTCCCGTCAGCTCCGCTATTCTTAGTGTGCTAAAACAAAAGCGAGTTTCGTCATATGTTCAAGCGTGTACATCTCATTAGCTTTTGTAGCGTATTGAATTTTTCTGCTTTGAAATTCCTCACAACATCAACCCATAAAGCCTCTGCCTGTAATTTACGAAACTGCGAAACTTACAAGATATTTGCTCAAAGTCTAATTTTTCGAAACAACAAGTGAAGACCCCCTTCTATAACGTTGCCTGAAATAATTGCAAAATGTGAAGGTTTTGACATTGACTTTTTTCAGAAAACGTATTTCTAACGTCCGTCGTACAGCCCTAATTTCCCAAAATAGTTTAGAAATCATAAGTCCTACCGGTAGTGCATAAAAAAGTGTGTTTTTAAAACCAACAAGTTAATCTTTTATACCCCCTTTCTGCCATAAACCTGCGAAATTGCACGAAAAATGAAATAAACAGCATGGGA